CCATTACTGTTGCCCCTATACCAGGGGCAACTTTAATAAAAATAATTAAAATAATTACAACTTTACAAAAAGAGAGAAGTTGCCGATCTTGCCCCTATACCCGGGGCAACTTCGTCAATTTCTCTCTTCTTGTAAAGTTGTAATTATTTTAATTATTTTTATTTCCAAACTGATTTTAACCAGTTCTATAGTAAGAAAACATTCCAATAGACAATATGCGAAGCTTTTTTTTCAGTTTACAGCAGTATTTATTACACAAAATTTAAGTAAAGCTTAACATGCCGATCTTGCCCCGGTCTCCCCTAATTAATTAATAAAGTGATTGTTTTCAATTTAGATATGTAATAAATATAAGTGTACTTACCTGTGTTACGTGTCGAATTTAACTGATGTGAATATAAAGCAATCAAGTTTTAATAAGAATAAAGTATTACTAATAAATTTTTAAGTGCACATTATCAAATTTTTTCCAGCAAAAATATTTTTCGTGTCGTTAATAACTTAATTGCTTTGTATAACATCGTCACCTCTACGTTGGTCGGCATGATGACGTTTTACACTTTAAATATTTCCTAATCAGTTTAGAAAATAAAATCTCTTCATAAAAAATTTCATTACAGTATATGTTTATTAATTAACTAGCTGGTAGGACCGGCGTTACTCGGGCAAAAGTAACGATAGGGAAGATTAACATTATTACGTTATAGTCAACCATACCCGTTTTCACAAAATGCAAGAATTGGGTCCTTCTTTTCCCGAACTGATTAGAGAATTTTTAAATAGGTCTAAAAATATGTTCGATTCTCCCAAAAACGAAAAATCTGTCATCTGCGAAGTGTTAAGAGATAACACGTCGCTATCTCTTAACACTTCCATTGTTGATGGAAGTGTTAAGTCTTAATCCTGTCTCTCTCCCCCCGGGGGAGAATTTCGAAAAATCCCTTCTTAGTGTGCGTTCTCGTGACGTACCCTAACTATGTACCAAATTTCAACTTTCACATCCTAACTGTTTGGGCTCTGTGCTCATTATTATGATCATTTTTATCATTACAACTCGTCTCGATTATATATTAGATATATAATAGTTTATATTTGCAATTATACAATTACTAATTTATTAGGATTTATTTTATATTTGATATTACGAAATTTGAAATATTTTAAATTTATAATTTCGTATATTAAATTTGTTAATTTTTCTAATATTTTAAATCAATTAAAAAAATTAGTAAATTCAATTTTACTCTAATTAAAATAATATTTAAAGGAATAAAATCGAATTTAAAAGTTACTTTAAGTCTGAGTTTTCAGTCTGAGTTTTCCAACGTTTTCAGACAGTAAACAACATGTGTTTGTTAACAACTGTTTTCACAGACTTTCGAGTTTCGTAAATCTACTTTGCGTGGAAAATAATCATTATGTTTAATCATTCGAATAAATGTAATTTTTAATATTTTAATTATATTATTAAAATATAAATTAGGCCCGAAATATCAGTATCAATGAATTTTGATTAAAATTCTTTTAGTACTAAATACTCATAATAGCTTGTTTTCATATACGTTTGATATTTTTAAAATGTACATACGTTTATATCGTATTCTATATATTTATAGTTTATAAAATATATTTTTATGCTTAAATGTTTTTTTCCAATAATTTTTTTTTTAAATTTCAGGGTATTCGAAATCATAATTTAAATACAGACACTTAAATAGAATTTCTGTGTTTAAAGGTCCGAAACAATTGAAATATTTAAATTATCTACATTAGAGTACAATATTTTTATTGTAATTTACTTAAATATCTTATTTTATTTTCGTTTATAAAACATAATTGTTAATTACCTTTGTATGAAGCCATTTTGTTGATGACGTGGCATAGGCCTACAACAATTGTCCCAGATGTTTCCATTATTTCTATGTTCATTTACTAAACAAATCTACTCACCTAATTATATATAAGGCTTATATTTTATTAATCTTAAATAAACATTTATGTACTAAATATTGTTAATAAATTCAAAATGCTTAATAAATAAAAATAAGCTTCACAACTAATATAATTATCTTAGTACATCCTTAAATTTGTTCGTCTTCTTTCATATTTCTAGACTTTCTGAATAGAAATTAAACATGTTAAACGAGCAATTATTTATTGTGACATCGTAAAAATGTCGTACTGCAACTTTTTATAGTATTTTTAAACTAATTTAATTCAAAATGTATTCTTACCTGAAATTAGTAGTGGCTTGTCCTTGTACGTACTTCTCCTTCAAGAATTGAGAAATACATTGTACATTAGACATTATTCAACATTCTGTACAGTAATATTATTAAACATTCGACTTACTTTTCTGAGTAATTTCAAACATTGACATGTTAAAGTGAATACATTTTAAATTAAGTTATAACGAAGTCAGCTTCGAGCTTCCATTGTGGCGTACAAAACGGAGGTCGAGAAATGTTTCAATCATACTTTTTCTGTTTAACTTTAATTTGATTTTTTTAAATATAATAAAATAAAATAGTTTATATAGTATTTAATTAATTTCGGTTTATAAGTCGACTTTCTTGTGGAGCGATTAAATTAAATAATTTAAGCTTTTTCAGTTTACTTTTCATGTAAATTATTATTTCTTTACCTGCATTTCGTTATTAAAAATAGAAAATAAAATTATTAACCACAAGTTCTCGTCTTAATTATAATACAGTTAAAGACTCTTCGAGTGGAAATTCGATTTGTTTTACAAAATATTTTATATAAATCTTTTTTTGTATATAAAAAATACGCTCCATTGCTTTAACAACGAATTTAATGCTCTCCGATTTTGCATTAGTGAAATATTAAAATAATTATGGTAATTAAACTAACTTGTGATAATTCTGATCGGCGATTTAAAGGATATTATCGTGTAGATCCGTAAAGCGTAATCACCGGATACGAAATGAAACGAAAAAGGACGGGCGAAATCTACGTAAATGAAATGAAGTGATTTCATTGGATTCGAAATTTGAAATACCATCTGCAATGTCAAAATTTCGGATTGACAGGTAGGAGGAGAAATAGCGCTGAATTCACGCAATCCTACGCAGAATTTTCCTATAAAAAGGCATGGGAGACTGCCGTTAAAGCACATTTCGGCGATCAACAAACCGAAAGCAACATGAAAACCATCCTCTTTCTACTGGTCGTTGTTGGTAAGTTAAGTATTTTCTGTAATTTTTAAATTTCCAATTGGGCTGCAACTTAACAAATTGTAGACCTATAAATTTTTACTGTCGTTCGTCCGTTCGTCCGTCTCACCTTACTCTCGAAAACCATTTTAGATATATGAAAGATGTGACTGGATTCACACAAAAGGGAAATGCAGGTCCCGATTAACTATATTCGAACGTCTCATGAAAACTGGAAGTCATTTTATTTCAATTCAATCACTTCCCTGTACGGTGTATGATTGGCACCGCTCTATTGTTAAATAAACTCGATTTAAAATATGATTTAATGTTTAATTTTCAATGCTTAAACTTATATCTTTAATTAATATTGTGCTAATTAACTTGACTAGACATAAATTAGGATTAATGAAAGATTCTTTATTTTGTTAGGAATTGCAATCGTAGCAAACAGCGAAGAGTCTAAGAAAGGAATAAAGAAAGATGTTTCATTTGATAAAGGCAAGAAAGGGTCTGTCGACAATCTGAGAAGTGAAAAAAATGTGAAAAACAAATACAATTTAAAAAAGGATTCAAATAGACAAATTGGAATGCCTGGATTGCCTGTAATGCCTGGATTGCCTGGAATGCCTGGAATGCCTGGAATGCCTGGAATGCCTGGAATGCCTTCAAGTAACCCCTCATTAGTCACACTTATTGGGATACTAAACAATTTGAACTTGGACTTTTTTGGATTTTTAAATTGTACCTTTAACAAGGTAAGTTTTACGTATTTTTCTATTTAATAAAATTTCAAATTATTATCATTTTTCTTTGTTGCAAATATTTGTTTTATTACCCTTAATAATATTAAAAAGTTATAAATTCAGTTGATATTTAAATATTTATGTTTTATATCTAATTTTATTTCTTTACATTAAATTCAATTTTATAATACTTTAATTAATTCTACATCTCAGCATTAATTTTTATTAGAATTAATAGAAATGTTATTTTATTTATAACGGAATTTCAAATGTCTTCTTAAATATAAAAAAATTAACAAATTAAACTTTAATAAAATTAGTTGTACGTGTTTATGTCTGTCCTCGGATATTCCAAAAATAAGTTCGAGAATCAGCANTAACAATATTTGGAGATTTATGTTTATTTTTCTTAAAAATTGTATTGTAATTTTATATATTATACATTGAAAATTATCACCAATTAATGTTTATGAAAATAATCCTTTTTTTCTTTTCTCAGCTTATGATAAATTTGGACCAATGCCATCTTCAACTCGGTGACCTCTCTTTAAGAGGCGATACCCTAGACAGATTTGGTCGCAAGGACAGATGCGATAATTGTGGAACGAATTCAAGTGACCCATTGCAATCTATGAACGAGTTCTGTCCGGCACTTAATAATATTACGAGTGATGTGGGTTGCATTCTCATTCAGCTTTCTTACTTCGATTGCTTCGATTACATTGACAAATGTCTTACGGCATTTCTGAATTGTGCCGGAATATATCTTAGTTTACTTTTTAATAACGAAATAGATTGTGACGGTTTATTAATCTTTCTTGAATATGTCTTAGAGGTTCTTGGAAATATTTTAGATACTTTATTTGACGGTTCGTTTGGAACAACCACTCCAAACGTACCAGATTTCTGCTTAGCATTAGGCTTAGACCAAAAGCGGAAAATATAATCGACGAATGATATAAGAAATATTCTGATAATTAATACAAAATATTAAATACGTAATCTAATTTAAAATCTATTTCATCATTATTATAAATTTAAACAATGTAATATGAATTTAACGCATTTAAGAAAATAAAATTATTAGCATGCAATCTTGTTTCTTATTTTGTACTTTTAAAAATTGCATTAATACGTCATATTTCATTTCGTCATAATGTTTAAGGCCGATTGTAATGTTTTTAGTGATACACGCGTTGTCTAACAGATGATGTTAGAAGTTTAATGTGACTTTTTTGTATTAGAATCTCGGTTAATACTTCTCTATTAACGCGGGGTTCAGAATTTTCAAACTCGGATACGATAAATTTCTACCAATTCTTTATAACTTTTACAATTAGCAAATAGCAAACTATCGCGAACTTTACACGAAAATTATCGTTTTTCTCTTTACCTATTATTAAAGCTATTTGTTGTCGCTGAAACAAGTGCTTTCTCTCCACTAGAGTTTTATTTAATTTATAATAAATCTTTTATGTACGCCAAATTTTCCTGGAATCTTCATACGTGGAAGATTCCCACCCAAACGATTTTAGTCTTTCTCAAGTTTGTCTTCGTTCTTCATATTCTCTTTACCCCTCACAATATAGATAGATTTTTCTCGTCTTTATCAAACCCCATAAATAATTTAGAAATCTCACAGAAGCATTGACATCTTTGAGATAATCTTTTCTTCGTCTTCCTATTGCTTTCTTTCCATTGCTATTGTTAACTTAAAATTTATTTTTAACTGCATTAATGTGAGTTTTCGTGCAGTATAATGGCCGATTAAATTATATCTCTTTCTCTATTCTTCATTGTTCTTGCATCATTAGCATATCTCGTGAAATTCCGTTTGAAAATTAGGAATTTGGAATTAAGAAAAACTATATTGGGGTCACAAGAAGGAATTTGGCTACCAGACTTAACGAGCACAAATACGATATTACCAAAGGGCACTGCAACACAATATTATCTAGTAGGGCGCAAACAGAAGACTCTGTGGTTAATGGAACGAAGCGACTATTCGTTCTCCATCATTATAAATGCACGAAATATATAAAAGTAAATTAAAAGATGGTTGTATTAAAGCCGGGGATGCGGAGGTACTACCTTTCGCATAAAAGTTCTACATAAAAGAAAAATTAAAACGCAATAATTCTTAGCCCGCACCTTCCCTTACATTAGGTGTTCGATAATTTACTAATATAATTAATTTTTAATTCGAGAAAATCTGTTTTATATACAGTAGACCCCCCTATAACGCTTAGATACGTTCCACGCTAACCGAAAATTACGTTGTAGGAGTGAGCCAATCGCAGCCCGATAAGTGGGAACTTTACGGACTAAGGCTGTTCGAAAGGTTTTCTTCTATAAAATTAACCGATTCTAGACTAATTCCACNTGGCTACCAGACTTAACGAGCACAAATACGATATTACCAAAGGGCACTGCAACACAATATTATCTAGTAGGGCGCAAACAGAAGACTCTGTGGTTAATGGAACGAAGCGACTATTCGTTCTCCATCATTATAAATGCACGAAATATATAAAAGTAAATTAAAAGATGGTTGTATTAAAGCCGGGGATGCGGAGGTACTACCTTTCGCATAAAAGTTCTACATAAAAGAAAAATTAAAACGCAATAATTCTTAGCCCGCACCTTCCCTTACATTAGGTGTTCGATAATTTACTAATATAATTAATTTTTAATTCGAGAAAATCTGTTTTATATATGTGCATGATATAGGTAGAACCTGTGAATTATTAATTACTTGTAGAAAATAAAACGATTGTTATTAACAAAACTTCTATATAGATATATAAGTTAATAAATGACAGGTATTTGGGGTTTAAGAACTGAGAAAGGCAACTACAGTTTTATTGCTAGTTTACATTTTTAATTCATTTACTAAACGAAGTTAGTCACTTAATTGTGAATAAGCCTTATATTTTATTAATCTTATATACACATTTATATTCAAGTTTTCAAATGTAGTAAAAGTATAAATTTATAAAAAAAAAACTTTAGTGGATAAATATACGAGATATGAAAACTTAAACCTCATTTTTCAACCTAAACATTTTTTTTTAAGTTCGTATGTCGTGGCACCTATTAAGATACTGCTCGTTGATAGTGCAGATCTGAAATTTTTAGTTCATAATAGGCGACATGCCTTATAAACCTAGATCCATGTAGATATTGTGCAGTTGTTGGCTACCGTGAAAGCTAGAGAAAAGTTTTTATAAGTGGTTTGAAGCAGTATCTATGTACACAAAAACAATATTCATCGAGATTGTCAATATATTTAATCGTTCTACTTACATTTATTTACACCTGATGAAAATTAAAGAAAAAAATTGTTAACCCTGTTTGCATGTACTGTACAATCAGCTAGTTAAATAACTTTGCCCTCATTAGGCGCACAACTCCATACAGAATTGTTACTTGTAAATAGAAACAATATCTGCAAATAACAGCTGTACATTTGTCTTAAGAAAACTGTTAGTTACTAAACAAATTTTGCCCTTTTATACAGGCAGATTATTTAAAAGATAAAATTAAGTTAAGAACCTTTATATGAATAATTTATGTCAATGATGGTGTATTAGACAATAGAACAATAATGAACAGACAATAAACATCCTAGATATACAATAAAGAACCTGTAAGTAATTTTATACATTTAAAATACTATTGTTGGGTATAATATAGACTTTTAAGAGACGTTTTTTAAAAATTTGTTAAAGATAATTATTGCAAACATGCTGAAGAGGGGCCTTCAGGTCCGAAATAAAATTAGAGTGTATAAAAAAAAGAAAGATATTTTGTTTTGATTTCTCTAACTACAGTTCCTTCTACTTGCTAAACGAAAACTACACCAATGTAATAAGTTTTATCGATAAATAAAGTGTAAAGTAGGCAAGGATATAATCAAAGATCTACACATAGTTTTTTTCACTAAACAAGAAAGAAGAGTCACAATTATATTCTTTTGTTTTATGAGCTATAAATGTGAGAAATAATAATAGTAACACAACTGCATTTCCAGTCAGCTATCGCCATTCAACGACTTGAAACTTGCAAAGTCAAATAAGCTAAATTTTTAGAGGCGCAGTTTTTTGAAAACGCGCCTCTGAATGATCGGTACTTTATTCTTCCTGTGTTAACTAAGCCTGCTACGAAAAATTGTCTGAACAAGACTCCTTAGAATATAGCAAAAGCTCTGGGTGCTGTAAATAAAGGATAACTCACAAAAACGTACCTATTATACGCTTATAAAAGATTAAAACTTAATATATATAGAAATAGCTTTTTAATATGTACTACAGTACCATTATATGAGCGGTAAGTTTGTATTGTATACATTTTTCTACGTAATATTTAAATAATGTCATGTCCTTTATTACAGTCTGTATATTTTTTAACAGCACCGAAAAGGGGTTGATAACATAATCCAGCCCGAAATGCATTTGAGATCTAATTCTTAAAATAATACCGTAATTTTCTAACCAAAATGCTGTAAAATCGTCTACCAAAAAATTCTTTGGATTAAAAGGACACACCTCCGATTTAGACAAAAAAGAATCAAATAGTTAAGGCGCGAAGGTAAGAGTCACTCCGAAGTCCAGTAACGAGACTCTCAGGAAAATGAATGCAAAGTCAAGTACAAATAACAAAGTGTGTTTATTATCGAAAAAACAAAATTATTAAATTTGATATAGGAAATTGGACTATTTCTGTTTACAAAACAGTTGGGTACCTAACGGGGGTATACGAACTGAGCGACTCACAACATACTAGGAAAAGAGTTGTCTTAACTTCTTTCTAACACTTTCTCTTCTTGTGCTCTTATCCTTTTCGTCTTCTTTCACCTTTACTTGGTCTTTCACTTGGTAGTTTACTCGGTCCGTCGCTAAGTCTGTCGTCTCCTGTCTGGTCAATCAGTTCAGTTCTGTCGGTCAGTTTAGTCTCTTGATCCAATCTGTCGATTTCGTCATTTCTTTCTGTTTTATTCTTCGATTTTCACCGACCACACTTTAGCTTTTGAAAAAGGTAAAGCAATTTGTAAAAAGCATGATATTGGTTATCCAGTGATCCTTCTTCTCTTTTTTCAATGAAGAATAATATGCATCCATGTGACATGGATAGCATATCATTGGTCACTCAACAAAATCGAAAAAGGGGGAAACGACGGGCATTACCCTCATCTTTTCCTTCGCATGTTGTGAAAGAGTTATAACAGTTAGTTGATAATTTTTTTATTTTAATTTGTTTATCTAAATTATTTTAAATCGAAATGACTAAAAATTTGGAAAGGGGGTTGCCTAAAATCGGAAAAATGAGCGAAAATCGTTTACAACGTTGGTTGATAGATAAACAATCTCGGTGTCGCATTTATATACGCATGTTACAGATGTGTTTACAAAGGACGTCCTGTTAATCGGGACCAAATGCCGCTATTGTTTCCATATCTGGTTTCGGTTTTGTCTTTTATCTATCTAACTGCTTTCTCGGGATTAAGGAAAGACAGCCGGATAGACAACGACAGTGGGAATTTATAGATCTACAAAATTTGTCAAATTGCAGCCCAACAAACATTAAACTTATAAATTTTCTTTTCATATTATATTGAAAAGTTTTCTTACACTATATTGAAAAGGGTTACATACATAAGCCTAACAATTGTTATATAGATTATAATTACTCAAGCTTAATATTACTGAATTGATAAACAATAAGAAGATAAGTTACGAGTGCACTTAAGATAGTAACGACTAGACTTTTGTCTATAGTAAACATGCCCCAAGCCGTAAAATTTGGAAACTCCAGCCAATTCTTCACGTAAAATCGAAAGATGTTTTCTCGAATTTTATCGCTGCAGATAAGAGATTTTTTATACAAAATAGAATAAACAGATTTTCCTTCGTCGCACACGAAAGAAGTACAAAAGCATAAGTTAATAAACTGAAA